AAAGTGGATGTCGTGAAGGAAAATGGGTTGATTTGGGGAAAAAATGGGAAAAGGAAATTTCGGGTCGGCCGGCACGTAGGCACCGCGCGGGGTGGGGAGAGACGGTGAAAAATGTTAAAATTTGAAAAAATTTCAAATTTCAATTTAGAATTTAATAAAATTAAATAAAAAATTGAATTTTAAAACTTTTTTTTTTTAAAAAAGTGGATGTCGTGAAGGAAAATGGGTTGATTTGGGGAAAAAATGGGATTTTTTTGAGTTTGGTGGGAATTTGGGAGATGTTTTGATGGAAAATGGGTTGAGTTCAGGAAAAAATGAGATTTTTTTGAGTTTGATGGGAATTTGGGGGATGTTTCGACAGAAAATGGCTGATTTCAGGAAAAAAATGGGATTTTGGGGGAGGCTGATTTCGGGAGAAAATGCGGATTTTTCAGAGTTTGGTGGGAATTTGGGGTGATGTCACGACTGGAAATATGGGTTGATTTCAGGGAAAATGGGATTTTTTGGAGTTTGGTGGGAATTTGGGGGATGTTTTGATGGAAAATGGCTGATTTCTGGAGAAAATGGGGATTTTTGGAGTCTAGTGGGAATTTTGGAGATATTTTGACGGAAAATGGCCGATTTCAGGAGAAAATGGGGATTTTGGGGAGTTTGGTGGGAATTTGGGGTGATGTCACGACTGGAAATGGGTTGATTTCAGGGGAAAAATGGGATTTTTCGGAGTTTGGTGGGAATTTGGGGGATGTTTCGATGGAAAATGGGTTGATTTCAGGAAAAAATGGGATTTTTTTGAGTTTGATGGGAATTTGGGGGATGTTTTGATGGAAAATGGGTTGATTTCAGGGAAAATGGGATTTTTGGGAGTTTGGTGGGAATTTGAGGGATGTCCAGATGAAAAATGGGTTGATTTCAGGAAAAAATGAGATTTTTTGGAGTTTGGTGGGAATTTTGGAGATGTTTTGACGGAAAATGGCTGATTTCGGGAGAAAATGCGGATTTTTCAGAGTTTGGTGGGAATTTGGGGTGATGTCACGACTGGAAATGGGCTGATTTCAGGGGAAAAATGGGATTTTTTGGAAAATGGGCTGAGTTCAGGGGAAAAATGGGATTTTTTGGAGTTTGGTGGGAATTTGAGGGATGTCCAGATGAAAAATGGGTTGATTTCAGGAAAAAATGGGATTTTTTGGAGTTTGGTGGGCATTTGAGGGATGTTTCGATGGAAAATGGGTTGATTTCAGGAAAAAATGGGGTTTTTTTGAGTTTGGTGGGAATTTGGGAGATGGTTCGACAGAAAATGGCTGATTTCAGGAAAAAATGGGATTTTGGGGGAGTTTGGGGGGAATTTGGGGGATGTTTCGTTGGAAAATGGGTTTATTTCAGGGAAAAATGGGATTTTTCAGAGTTTGGTGGGAATTTGGGGGATGTTTCAATGGAAAATGGGTTGATTTCAGGGAAAAATGGGATTTTTCGGAGTTTGCTGGGAATTTGGGGAATGTTTTGATGGAAAATGGGTTGATTTCAGGAGAAAATGGATTTTTTTGGAGTTTGGTGGGAATTTGGGGGATGTTTCGTTGGAAAATGGGTTGATTTCAGGAAAAAATGGGATTTTTTGGAGTTTGGTGGGAATTTGGGGGATGTTTCGATGGAAAATGGGTTGATTTCAGGAGAAAATGAGATTTTTTGGAGTTTGGTGGGAATTTGGGGGATGTTTCGTTGGAAAATGGGTTGATTTCTGGAAAAAATGGGTTTTTTTGAGTTTGATGGGAATTTGGGGGACATTTTGATGGAAAACGAGTTGATTTCAGGAAAATATGGGGTTTTTTTGAGTTTGATGGGAATTTGGGGGACATTTTGATGGAAAACGAGTTGATTTCAGGAAAATATGGGGTTTTTTTGAGTTTGATGGGAATTTGGGGGACGTTTCCATGAAAAATGGGTTGATTTCAGGGGAAAACGGGATTTTGGGGCCAGTTTGATGGGAACTGAGGCGCCGACCCCCCCAAAACCGGGTTGATTTCACGGGAAAAACATCCCCAGAGCTTCATTTTCCGTCCTCGAAGCCTCCAAAAATCCCCGACCGACCACGAAACCACCTCCGGAAGCGCTCGGCCGTGGTGGGGAGGGGAAATCCCGGATCTCCATCCGTCACCGGACCTGGGCGAGACACCGAAACGTCGTTAACCGCCCGTAATTAATGGCCGCCGGAGCGCTCATCCCTACGGATACCTTGAGGAGGGTGACGCCGGTGCTGTAGCAGAGGCTGAGGAGGAAGAGGACGATGAAGGTCACGGCCATCCAGAGGTCGGTGGTGTCTTCTTCCACCTCCGGTTGCGTCTCCTCACCCGGCATCACCACGACGCCATCCGGGAGCGTTTCCCACCCGGTTTCTGTCCAAAAAAACCTCCGGTGAGCGGAGGGTTTGGGGTCGGATGAGGCCAAAAATCCCGTTTTCACCCGGTTTTACCCGTTTTCCCACCCGATCCGTGGCGAAACCTTCTTCGAGCACAAAGATCCCGAAGATTTTTGGTCAAATCCACCATTTTCACCCGTTTTCCCCCCATTTTTCTCCCCCAATTCCAGTAAAAACCTGCCTCGAGCAGAAAGATCCCGAAGATTTTCGGTCAAAAAACTCATTTCCACCCGTTTTTCCCCCATTTTTCTCCCCAATTCCAGTTAAAACATTCCTCAAGCAGAAAGATCCCGAAGATTTTCGGTCAAAAACACATTTCCACCCTTTTTCCCCCATTTTTCTCCCCAATTTCGGTTAAAACCTTCCTTGGGCAGAAAGATCCCCAAAATTTTGGGTCTAACCCCCCATTTTCCCCCATTTTCCCCAATTTTTCTCCCAATTCCGGTTAAAACCTTCCTCGGGCGGAAAGATCCTGAAGATTTTCAGTCAAAAAACCCATTTCCGCCCGTTTTCCTCATTTTTCTCCCCAATTCCAGTAAAAACCTTCCTCGAGCAGAAAGATCCCGAAGATTTTCGGTCAAAAAACTCATTTCCACCCGTTTTTCCCCCATTTTTCTCCCCAATTCCAGTTAAAACATTCCTCAAGCAGAAAGATCCCGAAGATTTTCGGTCAAACCCACCATTTTCACCCATTTTTTCCCATTTTTCTCCCCAATTTCGGTTAAAACTTTCCTCAAACCCGCCATTTTCACCCATTTTCACCCATTTTTCTCCCCAATTCCAGTTTAAACCTTCCTCGAGCAGAAAGATCCCAAAAATTTTTGGTCAAAACACCCATTTTCACCCATTTTTTCACATTTTTCTCCCCAAATCCAGTTAAAACCTTCCTCGAGCAGAAAGATCCCGAAGATTTTTGGTCAAATCCGCCATTTTCACCCGTTTTCCCCCATTTTTCTCCCCCAATTCCAGTAAAAACCTTCCTTGGGCAGAAAGATCCCGAAGATTTTGGCTCTAACCCCCAATTTTTCCCCATTTTCCCGAATTTTTCTCCCCAATTCCAGTTAAAACCTTCCTCGAGCAGAAAGATCCCGAAGATTTTCGGTCAAAAAACTCATTTCCACCCGTTTTTCCCCCATTTTTCTCCCCAATTCCAGTTAAAACATTCCTCAAGCAGAAAGATCCCGAAGATTTTCGGTCAAACCCACCATTTTCACCCATTTTTTCCCATTTTTCTCCCCAATTTCGGTTAAAACTTTCCTCGAGCAGAAAGATCCCACAGATTTTTGTTAAAAAAATCCCATTTTCATCCATTTTTTCCCATTTTTCTCCCCAATTCCGGTTAAAACCTAGTTCGAGCAGAAAAATCCCGAAGATTTTTGGTCAAAAAACCCATTTCCACCCATTTTCCTCATTTTTCTCCCCTATTCCAGTAAAAACTTTACTCGGGCAGAAAGATCCCAAAATTTTTTGGTCAAAACCACCATTTTCACCCATTTTTCCCCATTTTTTTCCCCAATTCCGGTAAAAACCTTCCTTGGGCAGAAAGATCCCGAAGATTTTGGGTCTAACCCCCAATTTTCCCCCATTTTCCCGAATTTTTCTCCCCAATTCCAGTTAAAACCTTCCTCGAGCAGAAAGATCCCGGAAATTTTGGGTCAAAACACCCATTTCCACCCGTTTTCCTCATTTTTCTCCCCTATTCCAGTAAAAACTTTACTCGGGCAGAAAGATCCCGAAAATTTTTGGTCAAAACCGTCATTTTCACCCATTTTTCCCCATTTTTTTCCCCAATTCTGGTAAAAACCTTCCTTGGGCAGAAAGATCCCAAAGATTTTGGGTCTAACCCCCAATTTTCCCCCATTTTCCCGAATTTTTCTCCCCAATTCCAGTTAAAACCTTCCTCGAGCAGAAAGATCCCGGAAATTTTGGGTCAAAACACCCATTTCCACCCGTTTTCCTCATTTTTCTCCCCTATTCCAGTAAAAACTTTACTCGGGCAGAAAGATCCCAAAATTTTTTGGTCAAAACCACCATTTTCACCCATTTTTCCCCATTTTTTTCCCCAATTCCGGTAAAAACCTTCCTTGGGCAGAAAGATCCCGAAGATTTTGGGTCTAACCCCCAATTTTCCCCCATTTTCCCGAATTTTTCTCCCCAATTCCAGTTAAAACCTTCCTCGAGCAGAAAGATCCCCCCAATTCCGGTTAAAACCTTGTTTGAGCAGAAAAATCCCAAAAATTTTCGGTCAAAAACCCCATTTCCACCCGTTTTCCACCCGATTTTCCGTAAAATCCCTCATCGCTCCGAACGGCCATTTTTGGCGCGCGCCGGGAAAAAACCCGTTTTCTCCCTTTTCCCACCCGTTTTCCACCCGATTATTGTGGTTTTTTGGGATGAAACTGCCCGATTTTGGGCAAATTCCAGGGGGCGGGGCCAAAATAAAAGGGGGCGTGGTCTGCGCGGCCACGCCCCCTCCGCGGGAAACCGTCACGACGCAGTATCGGCGCTTCCGATTGGTCGTTCGTTTCGGGATTTTTTTCCTGTTTATTCGTATGCGGATGGCCACGCCCCCTCGTCTGGCCACGCCCCCTCAGTAACAGGTGACGTCAGCGTCCGCCAGGACCACCGAGACGTTGACGGCGGCCGGTTTCGCGCTGGTCTTGTCCACGTTCTTCTGGACGAAGTTCAAGGGGAATCCATCATGGCCGACCACGCAGGAGAAGGTGTCGCCCCGCCGCCAATCAGAAGCCGGGATACTCAACTTGCTGTAGACCGTGTAGGCGCCGCTGTCGCCATCTTGTTGAGGTCCGAAGATGGAGAAGTTCTCCCGGGAAACGGGGAGGTCTTCTTGGGTCCAGGTGACCAAGATGGCCGCCGGGCGGAAGCCCGAGGCCAAGCAGGTCAAGGTGGCCGTCTCCTCCTTGGCCAACTCTTCCGGCGGCGGTGGGAAGAGGTAGACGGAAGGTGGTACCACCACGGAGTCTGCGGGGGACGGGGGAGGTCAAAGA